AATATTGCCCAAAAGAGTTTCCAAGTTTCTCTTCTTTCAAAGCGTGTTACGACGTAACCGATATTATGCCATCGAAATACCGCACAGAGAAGAAATACTGCAATTAGTACATTCGTTCGAATGGAAAGGATCTTCTTCTTCTTCTTCTTCTTCTTCTTCTTCTTCTTCTTCTTCTTCTTCTTACCCGACACGCTTGTCACTACCTTCTTATTTACTCTCTGACGTGTTTTACGTGTTAACGATTATTGTCCGTTACAGGTGCGAGGAGCTCGAACTCGTGGAATCGAAAATAGAACAAATAGAAACTCTCGAGGACATGGAGCTGGTCAAGTATCAAAACGAAATCTGCAGCGAAAGCATCACAGTTGAAGAATTCGAAGAGATCAGCCATCAGGAAATAGTGACCACGGATTCGTTGGAGGAATCCGACGACACGGATATGAAGCTTGTTCTAGAGGAGGAACAACAACAACAACAACAACAACAACAACAGGGAAATCTTAAGAGCTTTAAATCGAGCAGAAGGTGTACGGTGATCTACGAATGCGACGTGTGCAACAAGAGGATGCGGAAGAGGCTTCAATTCTTGAAGCACAGGCAGGATCACGAGAGGAACGACGAGATGGTTGATCGTTGCGAGGAATGCGACAAAACGTTCCCCGACGAGGAGAAGCTGAAGAAGCACATGATCAAAGTACATCAGAAAGAGAAACCCTTTCAGTGCGTGCTTTGCAACAAATGCTTCAAAACGGAAGAATTCTTGAAGACCCATCTGAAGCAGCACAACAAGCGGTTCACGTGCGACATCTGCGGTATCTCGAAGGTATCCGGCTACGATTTGCGATTGCACAAGAAGAAGCACAACGAGGAGTACGTGACTCATTGCGAGATATGCGGTAAAGGGTTCTATACGAATCAAACGTTGGAGAGACACCTGCTCACCCACACTGGGGAGAAACCGTTCGTCTGCAAGATTTGCAACACTCCTTACGCGAGCGCCGCTTATCTAAACACGCACATGAAGTCTCACGGCGAGCGGGAGAAGCACAAATGCAACGTGTGCAACTTCGAGAGCTACTGGAAGGCGGCTTTGAAGGTGCACCTCAAGATACACACGGGGGAGAATCTCATCACTTGCGAGATTTGCGGCAAGTTGGTCTCGAGCAAAGCTTATCTGCAGATCCATATGCGTATACACTCGGGGGAGAAGCCGCATGTGTGTGAAGTGTGCGGGAAAGCGTTCAGCGTTCGAAAATATCTGATTGTACATTTAAGAACGCACACAGGTGAAAGACCTTACGAGTGCAAGGTGTGCCAGAAAAGATTCACGCAGCAGGGTTCGTTAAATTCGCACATGAAGTCGCATCACGAAAGAAAGTGAACCTCGTGTATATGTGTGTGTTGTTGAGTATGCATGAAAATTAGATTATCGTGAAGAAATTGGTGTTCGAGGATGAGAGAGGTGCGTGCACTCGTTCTCCTTGCAATTATTAGATTTTTGATATAATAGGTAGAACCTGGTAAAGAATATTTATATAAGACTTGGTCGGAGAAAATTGATTAGGTGTATTGTAAATGTTAAGAGATTTTTATGTATCGGCTACTATGGTGAATTTTTTGCAAGATGTTTCATTCTACTTCAGAAAATTCATTGAATATTCATTGTTTATTGTATATATATTTCTATTGTTATATTAATTTTTAAAAATGAAATTGTTTACTTTGATTTTTAAAATTTCTATTATTATTAAAATTATTATTATTATTATTATTATAATTAGTGCACTCATTTGTATGTATTTATAAAATTTAATCCTTAATATTGTACTTGAAAAGAAATTACATTTTTTCAATGATTTTAGCAATGATAAAATGTTACAAAAAGTTTAGCATGGTAGCCATCGCAGTGTTATGATAAATTTTTGTAATTGCTACTTTTTACTCAGGTTTATCCTGTATTTTTCAAATCGTATTTTTTACGAAACAAACTGATATTAGTAAGATTTTTCTAACAGCTTTACACGAATGGAATTATTACATTATAAAGCGACGTAATAAAATGATCGATAAACTGCATTAGCAAGCAGTTTTATAATTAGCACAAATTAAATTTAAAAATTAATTACGATACAATGAATTGCAATGAACGAAAGATTGATCATTGAATCAAAGAGATAGAATATCAGATAATTTTGTAGTAAGACTGCTTCTGATTTCAATATCAATATTTAAATAGCTCAAACAATTTAAAATTATTTTTACCTTAACAATAGAGATAATCTCGACATAGAAATAATAATTGTATCTTAGAATCTCGCGATATAAAAGGTGCCATAATATAAAAAATGATTCTAAAAGGAAAAATTAATTTTAACAAAATTAAATATAAAATTATATCTCGTTCGCGTACATTTTTATGTTCTTGTTTAATAATTTTTTAATAGAAACGTATATATAAAAAAAATAATATATATATTGGAATATATATATATATATATATATACAATTAGCAATATGAATAAAAATAAGAGGATGATTTGTGTACAATAGTAAGAATATAACAAAAATAGAATAAAACTTGCAGCATGATAGCAATCTATTTTGTTAATTAATTATGTACGAATTATTTGCTAAAAGTATAAACAAACATGAAGAACAATTTATATTTAATAAATTTCGTGTTTATATGGATTTAAATTTATTAAATTCATCATTGATTTATAACAAAGACAATTATTATGCAGTTAAACGATTATGTATCGTGGTGATACAATTTTAAGAATTATATTGTAATACGCATATAATTAATCTTTTTTTTTTTGTTTGTTTGTTTTCGTTAACTTTTAATACATTTGTACAACTTTTCATGTAAATACACATCGTCCAAGTTAATGACGCACATTATAGATAAGCGAAAATTTATCTCTTTATACGAATAAACTTATTTTTTTATGTATTATGCGCGATATATATATATATATATATATATATATGTATACATATGTATTC